AAGGAAAAAGGAACAATTACTACGGTTTTAGAAGCTTAATAAAATGGTTACTCATAGCAACGAAGCACATGTTTAAGGGAAAAATGAAAAAGCAAAAATAAAAGTTACATTTTCAGGGATGGAAAATAATTTTGTACCGCAAATAAACTAAAATAGAATGATACGGCAGAATGGCTTTTCCTTTTTTCAACGCAAATTTTACTTACCTGTCGCTATTTATATTCACAAAAATACGATGACTCACTTAATCATTTCAATTTTGACAGTAAAGGATGAGAAGAGAGAGAAAAAGATTTAATAGATACAATGTTAGAAATGAGATTAGCATATTTGGAAAGTGATTAACAAATTTGGGAGAACGTTCTTTTTGTATAGCTTATTTAAATAGGTTGAATAAAGAGCCTAAATTGTTGATTAACAAAACAGAGACCTAAAATGTCAACTATCAAAAAATAGTCCCAATATTGGATCATATACTATAAAGAAATGGATACCAATGAATTTTCAACTATCCACAATTTGGTTTTAAAATTGATAATTGCTTTCCTCAGTATGCATATATTATGGCTAAAGAATTTTGTCCTTTCAACTCAATTCACCTTCAATGTGATTGTCCCCAAATTCCAATAATCCAAAAATGAAATAATTGAAAAATATATGGACAGGTGAATATAACAGATTAATCATATCATTTTTAGTTATAATAATGTTTTATATGCAATTTTTGCTATGAAAAAATTTCCTCAAATTTTTAATTACCTTAGGATTTTTAATTAAGAGAATTGTGTGGAAAGAAATGAAAATAAAGGAGAGGAAAAGGAAAAGAAAATTGTTAAAATATTGGTTAAAATAGAAATGCAACAAATTGAGCATTTGAAAAAATAAATGGTAATTCTGAAAATTTCTGTTCACCGTTAATGAGGGCAATGATGAGAGATGATGATAGTGATAGCAGTAATGACGATGATGATGGTATGGTTGGTGATGATAATGATATTGGTTAGTTGTCACTGATGACGGTGATTGTTTGGGGTGGTGCTGATTCAGCGAATTGCTTGGAAATATTCATGTATAAATTGTTGGATGGTTCGATGTTTGGGGGTAGCATATATTTATGTAGAAGAGAGGAGAAAGGGTTATTGGGCGAAGGCGACGATATGATTGTCGTTAAGGGAGAAAAAAGGGAAAAAGTCATTTTTTTTAATTCATTTTAAAAGTTTTAGGGAAAATTTGAGTCAATGATTTCTCTCTTCTAATATTAATAAACAAAAGTTTTGGATGAAAAACAGAATAAATAAATAAATAAATAAATAAATAAACGTAACATATTTATATCAATGATCGTTATTTGAAGTAATTTTAAATTAGAACAATAAATATCATTTAATAGTAATTGTATTAAAAATTATTAGAAATTTTTAACATATCGAATAATGATAATTTCTCATTAATTAGTTAAAGGGAAGTAATTATTACTAAAATTAACAAAATGACAACGATCAATGAGAAAGTTCACAAATAAAATGATAGTAATCTTATCAAACGATTCTAATAAAACAATAATTCTTTTAATTCTGATAGAATGTCTGATGTTTGTGTATTGTTTATATATTATAATGAATTCCGATTATATATATATAACATTGGCAATACAATGGAACATTTTTTTTCAAAACTTTTTGATAATAATAATAACTATTTTTATAACAATGATAATAATGATAGTTATAATAATAATAACACTAATTATTATTGCAATTATTAATTATTTAATAATAATAATAATATATTACACTTAAAATATTAACAGACAAGATAAATTTATAGTTGAAAGGGTTAATTTTGATAAATTTTTTTGAAAAGTTGAAAATTTTATGAAATCAGTGTTATATTTATGCAACAGAGAGAGAGAGAAGTGTAGGAACTCTAATATAATGTTACAGACATGTTGATGAATGAATTTAAGATAGTGGAAAAATTGGATGAAGAAGATGGCGAGTGGAAAATTCTGCATTCCATCATTTATTGCGAATAACAGTTTATGCATTATAGTATATGGGGATATTTGGTTCCCGAATAGGTGAAGTGATGGTGCAACGTTTACCCGACTGATGCATCATGACGATTATACGACACTGAGACTGATCACCTATGTTATTGAGGGAGGAAGGAAGATTATGGACAATCCCTGATGATGTTTATGAAACCGAAATTCCCTTGTCCTTAAATATCATCCTGAATTATTTCTCAAGTGATTTTAGATATTTCACAGGTAATATTATTTTCATTAGATTATCCTAGTTAAATTTCTATTTATTAAAAAATCCACCAGTCTTCTATTTGAAACGTATATAATTCAATGCTATGCCAAATGAGAAATTTTCTATGTAGTCTTTTTTTCCATATCCAAGACTTTTAACCTTCAACCTTTAAACATTTTGACTCGTTCCATCATAAAATAAAGTAAAGAAGGAAAGGTGTATAATCATCAAAGTTTAATATCATTAATAATCCAATTGCAAATCGATCATTTATTGAAAGCATTAATGATCATCAAATATATAAAACATTATTGCCACATTAGCATCGATTTCAATCATTCCGAAATGATTTCCGGGAACGATTAGATAGGCCTGCTTCTTTTATTTTGTGTATATTTATCGATATGAATTAAATAACATTAATTTCGTATTTCTATAAGAAACAGGAAAAAATCCAATTTTCAATTTTTATCTGTCAATTTCCTTCTTCTCTTTGAATTATAAATATTTGAAATTATTCTTTAAGAAAGTAATCAAACAATTTTATTGAATATATTTTTTTATTGATTTTCTTTTGTGATCTTTTGAATTATCCATAAATTTATAACCTTTTTTTTATTGAATTAATAACGGAAAATTACGAAATGAGCGAAAGAATGAAAAGAGAAATTTTGACGAAATATTATTTCAATTGTTTTATAAATAATTAAACATTTTTATAAAGCTTATTTCATTTTATAAAGCTTATTTCATTACTAAATTACTTACTCTTTTTGGTAAATATTAAATAAAAGAATTTAATTTTAAATTAGAAATATATAATAACAAAATTATTGCGAAGTATTAGTAGTAATAAGACAATTTACATAGAAAAATATTGCAATCAATGAGATGGGAAAGGGAAGAAAAAAACAAAAGATTTAATAAATTAACAAAGTGAAATAAGGTTATACTGTAAATTGAAAATTATATTAGAAAATCATAAATTAGAAATTATAAATTAAAAATTATGATGTGGAAAATTTTGGAAAAAACAATACTTGACAGTTTCTTAGGAGAAAGGAGAGGGAGAGAGAGAGAGAGAGGGAGAGAGAGAAGGTGATGGATTAAATCAAAAAATATAAATATGAAGAGTGGTAAAATTAGAACAACAAAGCATTTTTTCAAAACACCAAATTATTTCAATTACAAATTAGAAAAAGTATTTTTGAAAATCAAATCTGTCCGTAAATTGGCTTCTTTGGATTTAATTTTGACCCTGATATTGTTTTTGCTATACGTTGAAAAATAAAGCAAATAAATTAATTTTTTATTCTTTTTTTGTGGAAAGCTTTTCAAGATCATCGGAAATAAAACTTTGGTTTAATTTAAATTTAAAACCAACGTCTAAATCTCTAATTCCATACAAATTTGATATTTTACTCAATTAAAATCTTTTATTTATAAGTAACTTTCATTTAAATTAAATTTCTTTGTTTAATGCAAGATCAATTTCTTCCCTTATCTCGAAGAAGAAAAAGACTGTCAACATATAATTTAAGACAATAAATGACGAAATAGCTAATTATTGTTTGTTTTATATTTTTAAATAAAAAATTTGAATATTAGAAAAAAAAAACGATAAATTTGATAGAAATTAAAAAGAACAAACGAATATATTTTAAATATATAAATAAAATGCTTAGAATGTTCGAATATATGCTTAAATGCTTATTTATATATGCTAATATATTTATTTGTATATAATATACAGTTCAATTCGAATATATTCTCTCATTCATTTTATTTTCTTTAATTGAAATTTTATTTCAAACGAAAGTAAAGAAAGGTAAATGGCATTAAATAATAATATTTTATTCGATATAGTTTTAATCATAGCAATATTTAACGCGCATTTTTGTATTACATTTCTTCGTTTAGTATATATAATGGCACAATTTGTAAGAAAAGTAATTTCAATAAGAATAATTAATTAAAACTAAAATTGGACGGAAACATCAAAAAAAAAAAAAGAACCGATTGTTTTTTAATTATTCATTGCGGTTAAATTTAAAAAGAAAAAAACAATGACAATTAGTAAGAGCAAAGAAACAAATTATAAATAAAAATAAATTAACAAAATTTTAATGAAAAAAGAATTTATTTTTTTTAAAATCAAATATTGAGAAAATTATTGAAACATATTCATTGTTTTCATTTTGTAAACAGTTTTTTTTTGTTTCTTACAAATAATAAATAAATAATTAGTAATAATTAATAACTCACTTCGAGTGGCTTATTTGTTTTTTCAGAAAAAACAAATGTCTTTTCAAATATAATAAAGAAGGTGTAACTTCTAACAGCAACTAATACTTCCACTTAGTAAACTAAAACTTTTATCATTTTCCAAACAATAATTAACAGTTAAACGATCATTAACTAACTAATATTCAACAATAATTTCATTTAAAACCGTATTCCATTACCGTAAGAAGTTAATAATTAAATGAAGAAAATGATCGAATTAGATACAAATCACTATTTGAAGTTTCTGTAAAAATTTTGTTAGGAAAATTTTTCTAAAAATAAATTTAATATAAATCAATGATATCATCATGTAATCATTAATTTCATTTTTCTTTTCAATTTAAAATTTATGCATTATACATTATAATGTGATATATTGATTATCTCAATGAACCTAACGTACATCACGACTTAAATGGGATATTAACATCAACAACATTTACAGAAGCAATTCTATTTTGTACTAAAAGAAGGTAACACCGATGACGTGGGTACTAATGTTGAATGCTCAAATTCAAAGCTATCAACACTTGATATTTGACGTTGATTTGGTTTATGATGGGAAAGTGATTGTTGTTGTTTTAGAGCATATTGAAGTTCGACAATTTTTTCGGTCAGTAAATTCATCTGTGCAATAAATTGATTTTGTGTACGATGCATTTCCCATAATGTTTCGTGCATATCGTTGTGTAACTAAAATGAAAATAAAATGGATTACAAAAAAATATTAGAAATGTACGAATTACACTGTAATGATAAATAAATAAGAAATGAATGCAAATGGATATATGAAAAATAATAGCAATAAAGTTTCATTTATATATCAAACAAACGATAAGAAAATTAGCAAAGTAAATGGTACTTGAAAATGTTTTATTTAATAAAAATTACAGTGTAGCTAAAAAAAAAATATTTGCCCAATTACTATATGCTAATATCTGAAAATAATTTTTATTAATTAATTTTTTCCTAAATTTATTAAAAATATGTTAAATTGCTATTACTTAAATATCCTTCTTTATAGTAATATTATATTAATTTATGCTTTATTTAATAGCTTATTTCACGAATTTTTTTATTCTTTTTTCTTTGAAATTTCAGAGAAAACTATAAATCAATCCATTTCCCTTATTAATTTAATTGCTTGTACATATAAGAGAGAGAGAGAGAGAAGGCATTACTCGATTTGTGATAGATAACCATTAAGTAAGAATGTAAAATATTAACGAATTGTTTTACTGTCAACTTTTTCCATTCAATAATTAATTTATCGTTAAACTCTAAACAACGTTTTTAACCTTTCCAAAATCGAGCAGCAAATTTCCACGTTCTTGCAATTTTCGTTGTTCCCATTTGATTCGTCTAAAATCATAAATAGCTTGCAGAAATCGTCTCTGATGGTGCCTTAATCGTAATTCATCACCTTTATTGCATGAATTCTTGTATTTATGAATAAACCTGAAAATATCATCTAATTCCAATGATATTATTACAATAATTAATGTAAATCGGAGTAACAATAAAGGTAAATTACTAATAAATAATACAATTTAAAAACAATACTATTTTCAAATCCTTTTAAATTTTAGAAAAATTTTTCTAATTTTCACATGTATAAAAATATACTTCAAATTTATTTTCCCTTTTTGGCTTCATTTTTTCCATTTCTTTTTTTTCTCTCTCTCTCTCTTTCTTTCTCTCTCTCTCTCTTTTTGCTTATCCTTAGCCAATCCCATTTTCTTAGAAATGTACTAAGAATAATTTCATGTAAATTTTAATTAGAAAAGGAAAAACCTATAAATGAACTAACCATGTTTGTTGAAGTACTAAAGCGGCTGCATGCTTTCGTTGATTAGTAAGTTTCGAATCAGCCATAAAATTGTTGACATGTTTTTCGGCTCGGCTTAACTCCAATTTTCGTGATATAACAGCAATCAGGGTTGATGATACTCCGGCACCCTGCATTAAACTTTATCAGTTCTATTCTATCATGATAAAGAAGAGATGACGTTCATATCTTAAGATATTTCATTTCGCTAAATATAGGGATTAGAAAAGATTATCATTTTATTGTCTTCACAGGACAGATAAAATTTAAATTAGTAGAAATGTATTAGATATATAGGCGTGTATTCCTCATACGTATTATCCCAAATGTGAAGCTGAACTGCCCATAGTGGGGTCTACTTACCATCAGGTCAAAAGGTCAAGAGAGCAAGTAGCCTATCTAATATAATTATTAATTAAGGATTTAAAGCATTTGACACGAGGAAGAGAATGTGTTTATCTTCTGTATGTAAGTTTTGCTATAATATCAGTATCAAAACATACTACAATGCCAGTTGTTATTGCTAATGTTCGACCACAATATGTGTTCGGCACAATATCACCGTAACCTATAAAATTTAAATAAATGCAGAAATAAGAAAAAGTTAAGAAATTGAATAAATAATTGAAAGAAATATTAAAAATGTTAGATTTATTAAAACATTGTAAAGCATTTGTGTTAAAATTCAAATTTCAGTAATTTAATTATTTCGAATTTTCCAAGATTTCGAAAATTTAATTTTTCTTTCATGAAAAATAAATTAATCATTTGTTGAAGGTGTAATAAAATCAAAACACAAATTGTGAATCATCGATTCATTACAATCTATCACATACTGTTGCAAAATGATTGTAACAAAAATTAAATCATCCAATTTACATATTTCAATATTTGAACTTACCAACTGACATAAATGTAACCTGAAATTGCATACTTTAGAAAAAGATAAACAAAAAACAATGAAATATTTTATAAAAATAATTAAACAAATAAAATAATCGATTATCGATTGTCGATCTATTTTTAGTTCTCTTTCATCTTAGTATAGGTTAATTTTAATCTTTGGAATGAAACTAAAATTATCCGAGAATTTTCTTGTCTTCTCGATCCTATTTTGGGCTAAGGTTAATTTTTGTGTAAAATTCCTTATTCCGTTTATTTCCATAAAGATTTTATTAAATTAAAGAAAAGTAAAAAAAGTAACGAAAGCTTTTCTTACTATGATAAACCATAATGAATTAAGATAATAATGCTTCGCTGATAATTGCCGATCATATCTACAAAATTGATTATTTATGAAATTGCAAAAAAAGTAAAATAGTCGTTCGTATCAGTTTTTTTTTGCTATCAGAATTTTTTGTTAATTTCAAATAATTATTAATTTAAAAGTTTTATTCTCAGAAATATGATAAACCCTTTTAGAAAACTTATAATAAAAGGAATTATTCAGAAAGAACTGAAATTTTTCAAGCAAATGTAAATGCAAAACAACAAATATCATGAAAAATAAACATACCGTTCACATTGTGTAAACATCCATGACATACAGATCCAAAATGATACGGTAAATACAATTAATGCCCTGAGAGGATGATTAGCCATCATTGTTTTGATCACAAACCGAAAATCCATAGATATTCGATTTAGAGCAGCTATTGAACGTGTTGCCGCATCCTGCAAAATTTTGCATAGCAAGCAGTAAGTAATCAGTGGTCAGATGATTCAAAACTCTCTGCTAGAATATTTGCAACGTTTTCAATAAATTTGAATGTTCAAATTATTTTTGCTCAATAACTGTAGCACTTTGCTATGAGATGGATTCGAAGTTGTTAGAGGTCAAAGAGCAATGATAACAAATCAAAGAGTCAAAGAGCAATGAGCAATGGTAGCAATGATAGCAATGATTCAGAATCCATTGTGTTCATAATTTTGTTATAATAAGCATTAAATGAAGATGGAACAGGAAGAAAAACTGAAAATGGGATAACCAGAAATTAACCTGAAATTGTTTGCTATGTAAAACCATGAATCTACAAAGAAGGTATGCGCGAAGAAACATTGGTACTGATAGCATAACATCAACGGGTACATTAACCATAGTGGCCTTCCTACTATCCGGATGAATGTAAGACCATTGCATTACTCCTGTACCTATAAAATAAAAACAAATTTAGCAAGTTGACTAAAAATAAAATACTACTAAACAGATAAATAAGCAAATCGAATAAGGGAATAACTAAGCAAAAAAAACAATAGCTAACTATATATTTCATTATAACGAACTTCCAATACAATAACATAGTTGCATAATGTGATTATAGAGATAAATTTAGATTAATAGGCTTAAATTATCAATTTAATTGATATCGATAGTCAGATCGGCTGAATTTAATTAGAAATTATTAAACAACTTTTTTTGCTTTTTTATAGCTTAATTGTCCATATTCCATAATCATGACAAAATGGATCCGAATTAAAAATTTTATCTGATAAAAAGAAAAAGCAATGGAAGAAGTAAAATGAAAACCTGGAAATGGACAAATAGCACAGACAATTAATTCGACAGTCAATTTAATAGCTCGTTCTGTTGTAAGTGCCACTCTCCAGTCATCTGCGCCACTATCTACTAATGCCATTTTTACCTAAAATTTATGCTATAAGTTAAATTTCGATATTTGCATTAAATCCGATTGCAATTAATTATTATAAATTCTTCAATTATATATAGTAAATTATTATGATTTATTTATGATTATGTTGGAAAAGGTACAATAAAAGAATTTTATGTTTATCGTATCGAAATTATAATTTCAAATTGTTGTAATATCATTTATGATCAAAAAAGTCATTTTTTAATGTCAACTTTTTAAATTTATAAAAAAATATAAATCAATTAACTAGAAATTTCAAACCAAACAAACATATACTTCAGTAGAGTGATAATGAACTAAACTAGCCATCAATGCAATTGTACATATTACACATATGGTTCGAAGCAATAATGAAATTGGATGTGACTGAAACGAAGAGTAAGAATTTTAATTTTCATGATTAAATTCTTCAAAATATAAGAATTAAATTATTTTCTGATTAAAATGAAGTATGTACAAAATAATCGATAAGAATTTTTATTTATTTTTTCATATTATATTCCTATCAATAAATTATACTGATATAATTTCAGATTAAAGCATTGACAAATGAGTATTCTACGATAATACATACCATCATGAATTAATTAATTATAAATAATATAAAGATTTCAACCAATATTACCTTGTTAAAATTACTATCACCGGTTGCAGCAGTAATTTCGGAGTCGATAATAATAAAAATAAGTCCTGCTAAGCCAAATGCTAATGAAATTTGACAAATTTTATTCCGTTTAATAAAAAGTTGTTTCCGTAATCGACATCGCATTTTAGCTGTACTATCACTGAAAAACAAATCGAATACTTTTCTTATTTTTTTTTGTTCTTTTAATTAGAAATAAATTGAATAGAGTAATTAATTTTAAGTATAAAAAATACAAATGGAAAATAAATTGAAAAATTTTGCTTGAATTTATGATAATGAATAAATACAATTACGATAAAATATGTATGGAAAAATGATAGAAAAGAAAAAGTGAGCAGATTAAACATATGGCGATCGATAATTGTTCGAAAATATTAACGAAGTAAATTAGTAAATAAAAACTAATAAACAATAATAATACTAATAATAATAATAATAATAATTATGCTAAACAAATTAGATAAAAGCGAAAGAAAATGTGAACTAACCAAAAATGAATATGATATATTAATAAAAAAATATGTAGAAAGGAAAATTGATGGAAAGTTTCAACTTTCTTTTAAACTTTTGAAAAGCATATAGAAGAAAAGTGAAAGATTGTAGCAGTAATTTAATCATGATTGTAATCATAAGTCTAATTGAAATCATGATTGTAATCATAAATCCATCATTCTAATTGCTATTGTCATATTTGCCAAATTGCTCCAATAATTTCATACTAATGATAATAATAACAATTAAGTGATAATAAAGATATAGTAAGACTAATAAATTATAATTAGGGATAAATTTTAGCATAAACTTCATTTATTTCCAAAAAAATATGATAAAGTTTATGATTGGAAACATTGAAACATTTCGTCATTTCTGGGAATATTGCATTATCATTTTATTTTACTTTTAATGTAACATACCAACCGGATAGTACAAATCTCTGTATCACAGAATAATTTTGCAAAGGATAGAGAATGGAATGGTTGATGGATCAGAAATATTAAGTGTTATTAGTAATATTAAATTCCGGATGAAAAATGATATTCATCTTTAAAGAAATTTTTTTATCATTCGTATGAGAAGAAATATTTATATCGAAGTTAATATGTATCATTTACTTCTCATCGAAATATTACAGGGCTGGATTGAAAAAATTGAGCAAAATAAACAATTAAATTGATTTCTAAAATAATTAATTTATAAATCCAGAAATCATTTGTAAATTGAATAGCTTAATTTCAGGAAAAACTGTTTTAGAATATTTATATTTAATGACTGTCAGCAATAATTTCAATTAATTGTAATAATAACAAGAAGAAAGTCAATGAAATAAAATTATAAAATTTCAATAAATATTAATTAAATTTCAAAAAGTAATAAAAATTATATATATATATACTACGATATCTATTATAGGAAATCATAATTTTTTCCCTTCATCGTTTTTTCTTTTTTCTTTATTTTCTCTCCTGTCCTTCACTTTGTCTTCATCTATTTGTGGATCAGAAATTGCTGTCAAGAGAGAGAGAGAGAGAGAGAGAGGTGAAGTTGTAAAAAACATCAAAATCACTGTTTTAGGGAAGAATAAACAAATGTAGTTCATTATTCAGGAAAGAATGAATATATGATATCGCATGCAGTAACTGTCATAAAGTAGAGAAAATTCCAATAAATCAATTCGTATTGTCTTATATTTTTCTTAATTATGTTAGATTGAAATTAAAAAAAAAGGAAAAAGTTCGTAAAATTGAAGAAATTAAGAGAAATATGAAATTTCACTTTTTATTATTTATAACTCTGAAATAATTTCTTTAAATCATCGATTTATGATATTGAAAAGATTAAGAAATTGAAAAAAAAAAGAATATAAAATAAAATAAAATTTAAATTACTGAATTACCGTTCAGAAATTATTTATGATAGATAGCATAAATAAACTGTCAACATTTTTAGCAAATATTTCGCCTTTTTTCTTCAATCTGTGTCCCTTCAAAATTTTAACTTTATAATTCAAACTTAAAAAACTATTGAAAGTTACCGAAAGGTAAATAGGAAAAATTCACTCAATGTTAGCTATACATATATTAGGAGATTTTTTCTCTCTAAATATCGAATATTGTTAAGTAATTAATTAGTTGGAAGATCGATAGATTAACATTCTCATAAAGTTCCGATTACTCATTCTATAATGGACTTCGGAGCAATTTTTATTTACTATTACACTTGGCTAATTTCACATTGCCTAATTTCAAAATAAGAATTATAAATTGACATTTGAATGTCAATTGATGGATCAAAATTACGCAAATTATAGGTGTAGGAAAATTGATTGATGTAAAACTAAATGAACAGTAACATAATGAAATGAGAAGTGACGTAATATTTCGGTTTAATTATATCGGAAAAGATGCAATGTTTCCTTAAGCTAAAAGTAATGTTATCTAATTCTAATTGAAAGTGATGCTATATTTCCGTCTAATTATACCTAAAATGATGCGATATTTCCGCCGACTGATTAGATTTAAACTAATGTTATATTCCCGCCTAATTATGTCCAAATTGCTTTTACGGAAAAACGGATAATCCAAAAAGAGTTCCCATAAATTCTAACATTTATAAGAATGAAATGAAATGAAGAGGAAGGTGAAGGATAGAAGAGAATGAAATGTTCCATCAATGATACTTTTTGCATGGATTAAAATTCTTCGAAAGCTTCCTTATATAAAGTATAAGATTAAAAGAAAAGGGAAAAAGTGGTATTTATTTTCGCCTTCTTTTTCTTTGTTTAAACCATAATATTGCTTAATACTTAATTCTATCACTCTCCACTTTTCATCTCTCTTCGAAATCAGTTTCATTTGCTAAAATTTTCGATTATCATATCACTACTGATAATATTTATTTCTAATTTATAAATTTGTAAAGAATTAGCAAATGCTTTTCGCTGTAAGATTTTTGCTGCTAACCTGTAAAATTAGAAAAGATGACTGAAAGCTTTTTGCTTATTATTGTGAACATTTCGAATTTAATAATCTGTGCAATGAATTTGAAAAAATGAATAAATATTTTTCAATGAAATTTCTGTTTTCAATCGAATATAATTTATTTTTCCTTTCCTTTCAATTATTTTATTCATTGCATAATTATTAAAAAATTTATAATGAAATGAGTAAAATTATGCTTCGACGAATTTTCAGTAAAATATTTCAACGAATGTTTACATTATATTACATTTCATTTCTTTCTTACATTGAAATAATATCATAAATATCATAAAACGGTATCTAATAAAGGTATTTCTTTGACTAAATTATTTTGAAGAAAAAGTGAGGAAAAACACATTCATAGTTAACTTCTGATACGGTATAACTTTAAGGAAATTATTTCTATAACAAATAATTATATTTATCCGTCATGCGCTGTCAATAAAATTAACTCATTTTAAATCGAAGAGAATGAAGAAAGGTAAGGTTAAAAGGAAGGGAATGCGATATATTTTGGTTTCAACTAATAACGATATCTGATAAAGTATTTCTTTGATTAAATTATTTTGAAGAAAAAGAGAAAGTTCAATGAAAAAGTATGCATAAAATAAATTAGATAATCAATTGAAAATTTTAATTTTAAAATTGTTGAATGTTTAAAATAAAAGAAAATATAATTTGAAATCATTCATTTATTAAGTTCTAATTATTTCTATCAAATCGATTTAATTTTGAATTTTTATTATCATCGAGAAATAAAGGAATAAAGAAAAATGAAAATTGTTGATCCAAATGAAATTTTTGCATTTTATTATTTCAAATTTTAAAATTATCTGAAAGTTTTTTCATACTTTCTTTGGTTACATCTAAAAAATAAAAGGAAATTAAATTTAGAAATCAAAAATAACACAAATATGACTCATACTATTGTTCACATTTCAATGTTTTCCCCTTGCTTAATATTAGTTGTTGCCACTAACATCGCTAATCAATTTTAACTATAAAAATAATATTTCATAAATCATTGCTAATTAAAGTTATGCAAATTAACATATCAGAATTACGCAATTAAAAAAGCCCGAATATATTAAATTATGCATGAAAGAGGCGCAAAATATATGAAGAAAGTGAAATGTTCGGTAAAAGAAAGCTTTCTGTTTTATTGTAGTTGTAATATTGCCTACAAATCTTTTCCAATATGTTTTCATTTCCTTCTTACTTTTAGGATTAGGCATATTCAATTAGCAGAATACTGAAAATAGTTAAATAGTAAAAGCATATAAGACTGAGTGTTACTTTGACTAATTTTGGATTGAATAAAATTTGTAGAATTTGATTGAAATTTTATTATCAAAACTAAAATGATAAAGAAAAATAAATTATTATTTATTATTCGCATTAATTAATCATCAAAATTCGTTATTTTCTTTTTTTTTTTTGTATTATTAAAAAGAAAATATTACGTGTTTGAATACGTTTAAAAACTAACGAAAATGGAATTTTAAATTTAACTTAGAAATCCCTCTAAAATCAAAAATAATGAAAAAATTCCTACCTATCAATTATATAAATGGTAGTAAGATAACGTAATTTAATGTCGCATAATAAGGCCATAAAAGTTTTAGTTTCAAACAGCTACGTAGAATTCACGTTATATGAGTTGCACTATTGGTTTCTTTAAAAAGAACTTTCTCGTACTGCAAGGAATTAAATCTACCGAAAAAGATGCAAATTTGATAAAATGACCTTTTTTGAATTACTTACCTTCAGCATTATAAAAATGATTCCAATTTTGAAGACAAAAAATAATTTTATTTAAATATAATAGATGCATGAATGAATGGCTCTGATTGAAGTTAGAATAAAATCCTCAAGTATTCCTAATCCTCAATATTCGGCATTAAAGATTAATGCTCTCGACTGGAACGTAAGAAATATCAAAGATAATTATTTAGTAACTTTTCCTTTAATTTTTTTAATAAAATAAATGATCGTTATTATCATCATTAACACCATTTTCTTAACTTTAAGTAGACTTTTAAACGGTATTATCTGTTAAAGCTAGCCAAATTAAAAAGGAATTTCAACAATTTTATCCATTTTTTAAACTTTTTAAGTGATATCACCTGCTGATAGCAATTCCATAACCGCTCTGTCGTCTCTTTACTACCCGAATTGTCGCACTTCCTTTTTGTTTTGAATCCTGTTTTTCAACGGCTGTATCGAAGCGTATACCACCGTTTCGATATTCATCTGAAGCACAAATGAACAATATTAAACCAATGAAAATTTGAGGTATCATTTAAAAGAAAAAGTTTTAATTTTCAAATTAAAAAAAACTTCGAATTATTTTGATTTTAAATGTTTCATTACTATTTTATTATTTCTTAATCTTTTCCTTACTTAAACTCTATAACGCTTTCCTGAACTTACCAAACATCTACTTGTCTAATGAATGATTCATTATCAATTACTTATCTAGATAAGTAATTGATAATGAATTATTCATTAGACAAGTAAATGTTGGCATATGATTGGATTTACGCTAAAAATTCAAATATTGTTTGAATTTAGGCATAAAGCAATTCAACGGATTGCAATATTTACTTGCTCCGTCTATTTTTGTTTTTGTAAAGTTGTTTCATTTTTTACCATATAATCTTTTCAAATCGAATAACAATATATGATTTGTCATATTATTTCACATGCAACGTGAATTACGTGCTACGTGGTAAGCTGCAACAAAATTAAGTCATGCTTATGTCGCATCACTTTAATTATCACACCATACAATAATTAACCCATATAAATAAATTACAGTGAATGATGAAATCGCCGATATTCCTGACGTCTCTTCATACTGATATCACGAAAGGGAATATTTCAAAAATATGACATGACGAATTCGATTAATGCTTCTTGCTCTATTTATTAATTTGCTTAAAATTTAGATAATTTATTTTTACCAGTATATCACAGAGAATTGTATGATGAAAGAAGCATTATTTCGATTTAAATGAACAGTAAGAAACTTGAAGAAAGTGAAGAGAATGAAAAATTATAAAATATTTTTGTAAAAACAGCCTAATTAAATTCCCAATAAATTTAATTTTGAAATAATAGATGAAAACAATGTGAATCATACAAGCGATCGATGCATCTTTAAATCATTAAGGGTAATTTTCAAAACGTTAAGGGTACATTAAGGGTAATTTTCAAAACGAATTAATGGATGGCACTAAAGATTTCGTCGAAAGGATGTTTTTTTGTGTTATTATGGAATAACTAAAAGCTTCTCAAGAGATTTGCAAAAGAAGTAAAGCAATAGTTTATAAATTTTATAAATAAATAGTAATGAATAAATAGTTAAACAGAAAATTGAAAGGAAAATTATGTCAAAAAAAACTTTAGACAAAACAATAAAAAATGATTGTTATAATTTGAAATGAAAAATTTCGTCTAATCTAACTAAATGAAATAGCAAAATATTCCGTGTAAAGAATGAAAATTTCAGTTTTCCGTATAATTAAAACCGGTAAGCCACTTCGTTTTCGGGATTGAAGTTTCTATTAAAGGAAAACTTCCGTTTTAAAATCCAATTGAAAAGGAAATATTCAATGAGTAATATTTGTAAAAAGAAGCAATTTATTATATATGTGAAAAATTAATTTTACATTTTCATAGAATTTCATTTATTTATATTAAAGAATTAAAAAGAGGAAAGAACTTTTCTTTTAAAAACTAAATTTTGTTATAAATTATCATTGATTGTTTCATAAATTTATTGATATAACTTTTAAATTTACAGCATAAAGAATCGTTCATCCATTCCTTCAGAAAGATATTAACCCTAAAATGGATTCATTCACTCGATTTGATGTCAGAAAATATGGGAATTCAAGTATTCTCTTACTGTAACTTTAAACTAATAAATAAATTTAATCTATGAGAAAAATTTTATAAAATTTGTAGATTCAAAGAGAAAAGGAAAAAACAGGTTGATATAATCGTACTTTGTATTTATTCGCTCATTAACTTTTCTTCTTTTATTGTTTTGCAATCAAAAACAAAAGTTTTTTAATGAAAATTATAAAAGTTTTTGTTCTTTAGAGTTTTTTCAAAAAACTTTACTTTGAAATGATGAAAAATATAATTCATACGGTAAGAATGTTTTACGAAATTTATTATTAGAATTGAGGTGTTTTAATAGAATTGAAGTGTTTAAATGCGATCGATGCAACAATTCAAACTTTGTATTTAATAGTGTAATTTGTTAATTATGATAATTGTGCATGCAAATATTTATTCATAGACATTAACAAATGTTATTTACATATTTCTTTTCTTTTTTATTATATTTTTTTATGGTGAAAAGAAAAAGCCTAAATAGATGATAATATCGCTATTTTAGAATAAGCAATTATGGTTGCAATTTTGTGAAATCATTAAATAATAACACAGAAAAAGGAAATAGAAGAGAGGGAGAGAGAGAGAGAGAGAGAATAAAATGAAGAAAAGATGCAATTTGCTACTCTGTGAATTAATAAATATTTGTTGAAAACATCGAAATGGCTATTTTCTCATACTTATATTTCTTAAATGGTTTAAATATGTCTTATATTTTCAACATACAAAAAATTGCTTTATAAATATTTTTTTTTTTTTTTAATGATAACGATAATGAAAATTATTATTATTATTATTTTATAAATATATTATTATTTTACAAATATTTGCTATATAAATAGGCTTCCTAAAATAAGGATATGACAATTGTTGTGATAGTAATAATTTTTGTTAAAAAGAAAGAGATACTTATTGTTTGCTATAATTACTATAAATAATATTTACTATAACATCAAATGATATTCTTATCCTTTCTTATCGAAGTGCAGAAATCAAATTTATATTAAATATACTTATCATACTTTGTAATCATTTTATCATTTTGTAAAATGTAATTAACTTATCATATCATAAAATTTAATCTATCAGATAAATATAATCGACGTTAGAGAAAATTCTAGATATCACATGATAAAATCATTGAAAATTCTTAAAAGAAAACATAAAGGAATGAGAGAGAAGTGGGAATTTCCCTTTTCCTGTCATTCTTTGCATTAAGTTTCTGTAAGATGAAAGATAATGATAATTAATTACACAATGACTAATTATTTCAAGTCCTTTATTTTAGTCGAATATTTTTAATTCATAAAATTGATAATATATCAAATATTTCTGCTAATACTTGGTAAATTTCAATGTGTTGTCATTATTGCTATCGAAAATTTAAAATGATATGCAAAAGCTAGAAACTTATATTCAAATTACAATGTAAAAACTACAGTACCATAAATTGTTAATGTACTTATTGTTTTTCGATTTTTTCTCATCCTTCCTATTTTGATATTAAAATATTAAATTATAATTAAAATATTCAATATAACTATTAAATACAATAGAAACCCTAAAGTTTTAATCAACTGATTAAATGATATGTAATCATTGAAATGATTAAGTATAAAATCAATGATTTTTTTTAGCTAAGTAAAACTAAATCAAATACAATTTCAATAATATTCTTTTACTAGAACGACTTTTGACCTTTTCAAGTTAAAAGCAACAACAAGCAAAAACGTTTAAAATAAACCAGCAAACTTTTATGAAAATCATACAATAAAATTCGACTTCTAATCTTTTAATACTTTTTAATTTCAATTGCTAAAATTTGTTAAATTTAGACAAAACATATAGTTAAATATTAAAATGATCGAAGAATTGCCACTCATTAAATTACTTCCTTTATAGGTAAAAATAGCGAAAGCTTTTAGCTCTAATTTGTTTGCCACTAATTCTTTTTTATTGTAATTCAAATTTAATTACTCATTTATTCATTTTAAGCGTCGACCAAAATTCTGCTGCATTGGAAAATTGCCCAATTAAAATAGTTTCATTAAAATAGTTTTCACCTTTATAAAAAACAAAATGACAGGTTTTCTACCTTGGTCTTCGTCCACTTGCTGCAAAAGTGAGCTAGGACCGGATTCTCTACGTATTGCTGGCCCTGATGTCAACAATGATTTGAATTGATTCGTATATCCGCTAATGCGTAAGATATCCGAGCTAACCTGAAATTAAGTCATATTTTGTTTTCGCATAATTTTTTTCAAGAATTTATCTATTTATTCAAAAATTAGAATTTGACAACAAGAATGATTTGAAATTTTAATTTATCATTTCTTATTTAAACTAGTAATTGCATCGAATACATATATAACATTACTTGCTAAGACTATAATGAAATTTAATTCATTATTATTTGATTATTTGATAAAGTTATCATTCGTATAAAGTACCATGTAAATAGATAAAACAATAAGAGCTGAAATGATAGGAAAAAAGAGTCGGCTGAAATATCTTTCGCTTTTCAAATTTGATGGCTAACTTCTAACATTCGTTGAAACAATGAAAATGAAATTAGCGAAGGGATTTGGTAAATAAGTAAACAACAATGATAATGCTATCATCTAATTAACACAACAAAATGTGATACTATTTTAATTTGTAAAATTATTCTTTTGTACAAAATATGAAAAAAATATGCAAATTTGTTTAATATTTCAATTGTTTTAAGTAATTTTATTAATTGCAATTAATACAACTAATTATTGATTTAAAATTCATTCTAAATATTACATTTGCATGCTTTTTCATTAAATAATTATAAATATGCGTAAATAAATTAGGGAAAAACAAGTGTAATTAAAAGTTTTCGTTAATAATTACTGTAATTATTATATGAATAATGCAAAATGTAAAGAAAAAGAACAACGTATTTTCATAAAAATATTTTTGTTTAAAAAATAATCGATAATTTAAAATTGAAAAAAAGAAAAAAGCAAATATTTTTTGATAATTTTTCTTAGCTTAAAAAAAATTAAGTTTGTTGAGAAAAACAATAGTCTTTAATTGCTTCACGGAAAAGAGTAAAGAACGCTTTTGATAAGCTATTTGTTTTTTTCATTTTTTTTAAAAGCAAAATTAGTAGGATTTAGTTAATTTTTAAAACTTTGAAATATAATTTGTATTCGAATGTAATTATATCGATTAATTTGATAATGAATAAATAATAAGCAAAAATACAAATAATAGTTTAAATGTTGACTTTTGAAATTTGTCATAATTTTTTTTAATTATTCTCTCATTGTTGTTCTTTTGTTCAAACTTCTTTGAATTAATTAGTTTTCAAAAAACAAAAAAAAATGACATAAAGATGTATTTTGACTTTTTTTGAAAGATTTTTAAGACACTAAGAAAACTCATTTCGATAATTTATTTTGCTAATTTAGTAAAATGGATATAATTACTTAAAACAATTTAATAGAAAAGATATAATTATTTAAAACTAATTTAGTGGGATGGAAAACTCATTAAAATTACTCATTAAAATGTTACACTTCTTTGTGAAGAGTTATTTTTCTAAAAACTACTGATCCAGGCGAATATTTTCGATTTAATTGCTAATCTAAGAATAGACACTTTAAATGTTAAATAGTTATAAGCATCAAATATAAAGCATCGATGAATCCTATCTTAAATTTTAAATTCAAAACTGTCAAATACATTGATTACATACAATATCTATTAATATAATATTGACATCTCATAAAAATTGACAATACATGAAGTTCAATTTAAATTTTACTAATAGAAAGTACCAAATAATTTTTAGTGCTAAAGTCTATTTTACCTGAGCAATGGGATTGTTAAATAAACGTATTTTATCGTTATTGGATTTTATCAAGAAATCACAACTTCGCCCATAACGCTTATCCAATTGACCAACGTCATTGCTGAAAAATACAAAAAATAAAATTTGTCAGAAAATATGTAAAATAAAGAAATAAATTTCTTTTAGAAATCAATTGTGAACATTTTCATAATTTATTTAAAAAAGATATTATTATCATATCGATTGCTTCAAAATTCAAATATCATTAATTTTTGAAAGTTCTTTTATCAACGCCCACACATATACAACTTTTTGTTATGATAATTTCTTTTTTCATTTTATTTCTTAAATAAATATGACAATATTAATCCTGTTTAATTGTTTTTTTCGCTTTCTTAATTATTAATTAAAAGAACAAAAAAAATCAAAAGAATAATTTTGGAACAGCAATATTCGAATAATAAAATTATATTCCAATTTGAGATTTTATTTCCTATTATATATATATATAATAGGAAAGAAAGTAATATAAAAATAACGATGGAATGAAATCATAATATTGGAGAAGTGAAAGTTAGAAACGATCAAATTTTTCAGATTCTAAAATATTTTTGTTTTCTCAATTAACAGAATAGCAATGAAATTTGTTATGATCGAATTGAGTAAAAACTTTGATATATTTGTGCATACAATGTTAGAAATAACTGAATTTATTTATCAATTTATAATGTAACTTTCAAATTTATCAAAGTGTTGAAAATATGAAAAGAAAATTTTTTTTCTTGAAAAATTAATAGAAAATTAGTAAAATCTTTTTTTTTTTAATAATTAGAGATTGCAAAATTATTACGACACGATACCAAAATGATAATTATATTAAATGATAAATTTAATATCAATTAATAAATATAGTTTAGTGAAGTTACTTTCAGCATAATTTCTAATTAATCCAAAAGATTAATGAGCCTACATGGTACTATTCCGTGGTGATGAATTTGTTACCGTTGCACCTTTCTGTAGTGTTCGACCGTCCGGACCATATACTGGCATAGTTGATGATATCACCTGTTGCACCTTACAATTCTTTTCTTCTTTCCTTTCTTTTTTCGATTTATAAAGATAAAAAATGAATTTGGTACTATTTTTGGTAGTAATAACTTATAAAATCATTTCATTGCGGGAAGGTTATAATATGAATTAGGTAAAAATATTCGATGATGCGATAGTTCTTTTAGAATATTTTAACGAAAACATGCGTTTTGGTAATGTATAATAATATGATATGATATAATATAATATGATATGATGTGATATGATATGATAAACATTATAAAACGCTATTTTGATGAAAGCAGCAATTGTCATTAAATGAAACATCTTCATATTATGACATATATTTTTCTTTTTTTTTCAGCTTTTATTAACCAAGAGAATCAGTTAGAATTCATCATCCATTTTCGTTGTAATAATCGATAGAAATATGATTACTAATATATTAGCAATAGTATTAAATAATCGAAATGGAACATAATGATTTAATAAATAATTTAAAATCGTGCAAAACATATATACGTGAAATGAAATAACGAATAAAATGAAATGAAATAAATGAATTATTTCTTAGCAAACAACGATCAAAGCATTTCATTAGAAATTTAAAAGAATTTTCTATTTTCGAAATTATTAAAATGCAAGAGTTGTATAGCTTATATAATCAGAGTTGTTTTAACAAAATGATTGAATATGTTAGGGCTGATTGGGATGAGGTTAGAGGTCAACAGAAAGCAATCAGAGTATGAATGAATTCAATTCACAGATCAAAACTAATATAGAAAGCAATTAGTAAACGGTAGTTTCTTCACTCTTTCTTTCTTCTTAGCTAATTATAGATTGCTTGGTGTGATGGAAGAGAACAAGTTAGTGTTAATTGCAAGCTAATTGCACTACGCTTATTTTGAATCATTCGTAATTTTATGTCAACATATTTGATTTGACATTATCTGAAAATAAAATCATTCTCTTTTGCAGTAAAAATAAATTTTCAATAATTAAAAGGAGAAAAAAAAATGGTTAACTGAAGTGAACACTAAAAATGAAATTTAAAAATTATAATTTGTAAAATTTTGAGTTAAATTCACATCATAAGATTTGATTGATAAACAACTGACAACAATTATTGATTTTTTCCCACTTCATTATGCTTATCACTTGCAAAATTTTTTTACGGATATTGAAATCAAACTTCATTTTGCTCTTGATTTAGAAAAGAAAAAAATCGAAATGTAGAAATATTTCGAAATATGATCAGTATGATTTATATGACAGCTACTAAACATATTCTGACATCTCGGGACTAGTTGTTTTTAACTATTTTTTGAGTAATAATTATAATTAAAGTCATTAAAACAAAGGGCGAAAATCATAATAATTTTTGATAGCTATTTAAACTATTTAAATGATTGTAAAAGTTTGATGAATTTAAATAATGCAGCTATAATATTTTTGGTATCTTTTAAGACTATGATGCTTGAAACCTAGAAATTGGGAGCTTCTATAAAGCTTAGACCAAAATATAAGTCAGAATATCTTGATATTAATAGCACCATAATAATGAATATAAACAAGCAACCAGTTTACTTATTAAAGATATGAAAAGATTAGTAATGAATTGAGTAAACACCATATGAAGTAAAATAAAATATGAAATGAATTTTTTGAGTTCACTAAATTAAAATTGGCATCTTTGAATTCATTGAATCGAAACGCTGAGATATTATGAAACTTTAATTATTTGTATAACTTAACTAATTAATGAAAATGATTGCATTAAAAATTTTGTGAGAGTATTGAAAGTGAATTCTTAAAAGATAACACATTAATATTTCCTCGGAAAGATTTCCCAAATCTTCATAGCAACTGATTTAATTTTAATTTAAATATTTTAATAATTAAATAGTGGCTATATGATTGTTTAGCAAAAAAGGAAGAAGGAGGATCGTTATTTTAATTATTATATATAATTTGCAAATATTTTTTAATTATTTCACAGTACAGTACACGCGGTATTGAAAATGAATGGATATATTTAATTCAAAAACTGTTTTCAATAAAATTTATTTTGAAAGAAAAAGAGAAAAAGCGAAGAAATTCTCTTTCATTTGTTATAAAATGAAATGCAAAGCTTTTACAATATGAAATGTTTGAAAAAGAATAATTTCAGTTAAAAGTTTTAGAATATTTTAGCATTGACATAATATTATTAAAGTAAAAGATATATTTTAGTTTTGAAAGAAATGAAGAAAAATGGCAAATTTCTATAAAATTTAAAAGTGTAAATTTGTTCAAAGCGTAGCATTTCAACTTTTCATCATTAATCTTTTCATTTATCCAATCCGAAGAAACAAACGAATTAGTTAAAATTATTTTTTTAACCAATAATTCTTTTGTTTGAAATTTAACTAAATATTTAAGAATGATAGCGTAGTGAAATGTAAGAAATGAGTGATATCGATTGGTTAGGAATAATGCAAACGGAAATTTCTAAGATTTTAAGGCTTTTCATTTTTACAAATTTCCTTGTATGGCTATTTTTGAAAAGGATGAAAAATTACGGGAACTAATGGAATTCACTCAAAAATTTTGTTGAATTAAAACGAATTAGCTGGAGACAATGGAATTTCTATGCCAAGAAGAAAAGTATCAAGGGAATTCCAAACAATTGAGTTCGATTCTAAAATTACTTCTATCTCTTTTTCATTATGGATAAATTGGAAATTAATTTATTCAATTTAATTTTTAACTGCTAAAATTTACGCAAGATATTTTTGGGAAAGAAAGAAAGGGAGAAAAATTTTACTTCCTTAAATGAAATAATTTTTCAAAATCAAACTCTGTTTTAAAAACATGTGCTAAGCACTTTATAGGATTAAAATTAAAGTAGGATAAAAAGAGAGAAAAACTTTGAGTTTGAGAGATTGGAAAATTTTTAAATTTATTTTGTTAACCATTTTTAAGATTGATATTCACATTTTTCCCATATGCACTAACTAAATGCTAATTAAATCGGAAAATTACCGAGAAATCCTAATAAAATTAACCATTGCATAATTATTATAACAGTTCGTAATATTTTTAACGGGGATTTAGCAGCTGAAAGAAAGGATCAATGTTTAATAATAATAATACAGAATAAAATAAAATAAAAATAACGCTGAAGCCACAGTAATTTTAAATTGTCATCAAAATCAATGCTGGTCATATTTCAGAAAAAGGAAATTTAATTACGATTTTCTGGCCGAATTTTTCCTTCGCTCATTATTTTACATAATTAAACTATTTAGAGAAAAAAAAATCAAATAGGTTTCTTTCCGGTTTCATCATTAAATGGTTTTTTGTTTTTTCCGCAAATAATCAATCATTGAATGCATTAAAATAAATCAGTTTGCTATTAACAAAATTTTTTCATTTTCCACGGCAAAAAAAAAGAGAAAACAATTTCACTTTTATTTTTTTAGCTAATTAAAATTATGCATTTCTACCAGCTGTCTGTCTGTAAATTTAAAAATAAAATTTAGGTTAACGGAAAAAATGAATTAAAATACGGTATAGCTACTATAACACTTACCAAGAAAACATACCTTATATAATATCTTTTTATTCTTTAATTTTTGCTTTTGAAGAAAAACTATGTTAGCGAAGAAGCGATCATAAGCTTATATGGAAAAATGGGAAGGAAAGAGACTTATGAAAACTTTTAAAATTTATAATATCTATAAAAGTTCTATTTTTTCCTTCAAATTTACTTCATTCTTTCGGCAATTTTTAGACATTCTCTTTTACTATTTCTAATGAAAAAATAATGCAACATTTTATCAATTGCCATATATATCGTATCGTATATTGTTTATCCTTTATCAAATCAATGATATAGCTAACTAATTTATATAGTCGAATTGATATTTACAATCTTAAGTTTGCATAATTTATAAATTATACTTTCTTTTCACACATTTTCCACTTTTCATTCCTTAAAGAATTAAATATGTTAAGTAATTTTAAGCATTGAATCATTAAGGGTACTATGTAGAATACATTTGAATATATGAAAACAGCAGTTAATTATCAATAGTTCGAAGTAATTATGATAAAATGAAAAGTTGAATTTTATGAAAATAAGCCAAATGATCAAAATAGAATAATTAAAAAATTTCGATAATAAATTTCATAATATTTAAAGCTTTTGAATAATGCAAAACTCATTCAATTATTCGAAATATCAAACATGATAGATTGATAAATATTGATAAATAAACTGAAAATAATTTATTTACAATTAATGAAAATAGTTAATTATTAATTTCAAACAAAATTTGATTATATTCATCTAAGTTTTGACAACTTTTAAAATCATTTCTTTCTTATTGTTTCTTTTTTCAGAATATTTATTTGAATTTTGCCGTTGCATTTTTTTTAATTTTTCAACGATCAAAATTTGTGCTAAAATGAATTATATCAATTTATTCGAAATGACTCATTCCATCCATTAAATATAATTAAAGTATATTTAAAAAAAAAAGTGTTTACATTTGAAAAGATACCTTAAGGTAAAGCCAAAGATTGCATACTATTTCATTCCTACTCACTTATAATAAATATTTTTTTCATTTCTTATTCAATTACTTTCAATAGCTGAGAATACGGTGATAGAATGATAAGTTGAAATAATTTTTAACAACAAATTATCATCAATTATTTAAAGATTCTTTGATGCATGCAACATGCAATAATGATATACACATGCACACATGCATGTCATTGTGCTAGTAATTTATACACGTCACTATTATTCACGAAAATTCTTCAAATAGTATTGTGGTTGATAGAATAAATAATAAGATTTTAGCTGGCAAACAAGCAAACAAGAAAAAGGGGGAACGGAAGTAATTCATCGAATATTAATTTGTAGAATTATAAAGTTATAATTCAGTTATTCCAATAACAATGAAAAATTTGGTCGGTAAATAAGAGAAAACAAAAGAATAAGCAAATAA